TTTTTTTTTTTTTTTGGTTAACCTAACTTGTATATTTTTATTTTTTGAAGATAGAATAAGTTTTTTAAAAGGAAAAGTTTATTTCACTTTAATTCCGCAAGTATTTATCTTACTTTTAAGTTTTGAGATATTAAAAAATGGTTTAAAGTGCAGAATGGAAAATTTAAAAAGTACGTTTAGTTTGTCATAAAACAAGAATTGAGAAGACAAGAGTATGATTTATTTTTAGAGAAAAAAATCAAACAAACTAAATTTTAAAAATGTTATTAATTTATATAGCATGTTTCAATTTTGTCCTGATGTTTTAAAATTTTCAATTTTACCTCCCATCTTTTTTCATTTACTTTAGAATGAAATCATTGATAACTCTCTACAATAGAGTGTTTTGCGGGCTATTTGGGGTATTAATTGTGTAGAAATGTGAGGATCCTTGTCAAGAAACTAAGGAAAATCTGAGAAATCATTGATTTATGCTGTTAGAATCCTTGTCCCTAAGCTGTTAGAATTCTTAATTTCCTCAATTGTAATGATTTATGCTCAATTATTGATGATTTGTGCAGGAATTGTATAATTTGCTAAGGACAAGATGGGTGCTGCCAAGGTCGTAAGGGTGATGTTAGAGCCTATTGTCGCCCGGATGCTTTAGCATGTATGATAGTGCAACAACCCGATACATTTCATTTTTACCGCGTTCCTACATCTTCCAAGGGGTGCCCTAAATTTTAAGGACCCAATATATAAGGAAAATATACATCAATCACACAAAGAAGGATAGAGAGTAATACATTTTGGGAAGCATCGATTTCAGGGAACATTCCCTTCTTGTCATCATCTATTTTTCATCAAAGAATGAGCTGAGAAGATTGATTGCCTGCTTGTGGGTCACACTGTGCTCTTAAGGAAACTTCCAATTCTCTGTTGACTACTTCAATGGAGATTTCTCATGTCTTTTCTATTTATTTTCTCTTTTCTGTTATGAACTAAATCTCACATTCGGGGGATAGCTTGCTACAGATTTAATGCTTGTTATGCTTTAGAACCCCAACTATTCAGTGGTAGGCTTGCGAGCCTCACCCTGAGAGGTGCACTGTTATGTGCCGCTCAGAGAATACGTGTTTGTTGGGGTGGAAGTTCCCCAGATTTGTTGAGCAGAGTTGTCCGAGGTAGAGAATTGTCCATAGCTGACGCGTGAGGAGCGCACGACTGTTTGCCGTGGCAACGTTGCGAGTCTCGGAGCCAAGTCCTATAGTTGGGCGCACGAAAGTCCGTGGGTGGATAGCTCATTGTTAGTGTACAAGTTTCGTATTCAGTCTGATGCACGATTATTTACAAGCGGGTCAGTTGGCAGCCAGTCCGAAGTTGGAGTTCCGAGTCGTCATCGGGACGATGCTGAGTTTAACTGGGGGACAGTGTTACAATCCTAATTGTTATCTTTGGATTGTACCCCACCAGTATGTCATCGAGGACGATGATAGTTTAAGTGGGGGAGAATGTCACAACCATACTAGTGGATAGTAGGTTGTGACACCCATATAGTGGACAAATGGTGGTGAAATGCATATGTCGCCTGTCGAGCCATGTTAAGGGTCGAGAGAGAAGTGCTGTGATGCGACCAAGGAGGATGGTGCATCACCTATCACACCCCATAGATGTGCAAAAGAATGTCTAAAGAAGGCATACGCAGAATGCAAGGCGAAGGCGATGTCAGTGGTGTCGGTGACAAGCTCAACGGGGGCCAGTTCGGGCCCTGGGCCATGACCCTTGAAGTTGGGGTTCCGTCGAGAGTTTGGACGAGCAGCTTTAGAGTTAGATGCATATTAGTGAGATATGCAAGTACGCCAAGTTTCGTGTCAATCGAAGTTCAGACATGCGCTCTATGTTGGCGAGTGACTCCTCGCCACTTTGCAAGTACACGCCTA